AAGGAGGAGATCTATCAAACCTAGTACTACCAGTATATGCAACCTAACTAGCTAGCTAGAGCTAGCTAGAAAGATAGATTTAATTTAATTTGTTGGTGGGAGCATGCACGCATGAAGATCGATATATGATGTTGATGCATATCAATAATCTTCCATCCATCCATATTCAATACACTATACACCGTACATGTATGTATATAGTTAGTCACATTAGTTTATATATAGCCTCATATATTTTTAAGCAAGCAGATATATATAGAATCAGTCCAACTCCATGGAGGGGCAGAGACAAAAAAAAAGTTACTACACCAAGAATTGAATTAATTATGTATATATATTGCCAATCTATATATATTAATTAATTAATTCCTAGCCACCCATGCACCCAACATGTATAGGTATATCCAGTACTATCTAGCTAGCTTAATATTTCTTGTTGTTGCATGTGTCTAACTAGCTAGCTAGCTTGCACTTGCACATGCATATAATTAATTAGTTGCATGAAATCTTGACATCTGCAGGTTGTAGCTATATCAGTTAGCAACAATTAAGCAGGTGTTGTAGCTGACTTTTCTGAGTGACAATCAAACTAGCTAGCACACATTTCATCACTTTCACATATATACTATACTAGACTAGAGCTATATACAGTAGTAGTACCATGGTTTAATTATTTGTAGCCTTATAGAGAGAGAGAAGAGAAGAAGAGAGAGAGATCAGTGTGAGGCACCGACGAAGACGAAGACGAAGACGACGACGACGACAAGCACACAACAAATTTGCACACACGCGCGCGAGCATCGATGATGGCGGCCCATCATCATCATCATGAGCACCACCACCTCTTGGACATGTCGTCGCCCCCAAACGCCAGCGGCGCCATCATCTCCTCCTTCGACCACGCCGCCGGCCTCCTCTCCCTCCACGACGTCGCCGCCGCCGCCGACCACCACCACCACCACCTACGAGGAGGAGGAGGGGGTTTGCAATTGCCATCGCCGTGGTCGCAGCAGCAGGTTTCCCTCTCCCTCTACAACAACGCTGCCGGCGCAGCAGGCTCGCCGCCGTCGTCGTTGGTTGCCCATCAGCAGCTGGCGGCGGCGCAGCCATTAATGTTCCAGCTGAGGGGGTCCAAGTACCTGGGCCCTGTGAAGGCGCTGCTCGCCGAGTTCTGCAGCCTCGACGTTGAGGCCATGGATGGCGCCAAGCAGCAGAGACCTCCCAATCCCAATCCCAAGATTGGAAAGTGGGACGACGTGGAGGGTTCAGGTTCGTGGGGCAACCTGTCTCTGAGCTCCATGGACCTCCTGGATCTCGAGAGGAGGAAGGCCAGGATCTTGTCCATGGTTGAAGAGGTAATTAATTAACAGCTTCTTCTCTTTCTTTCTTTCTTTTTTTTTTCATTTTTTTCCTTTTTTGAGATCAAGGTAATAGCTAGTCTAATCGCACACACGCATGCATCTTTCAGTTTTTTATTTCCTTTTCTTTTCTCACTTCAGTACTTCTACTAGTAATTAACAGTGCTAGCTAGCTGTCCTTAGTCTTTTACTACTTATGTTAATTTTCACTCGTTCCTTTTTTTACCGAAATTTTCACTTGTTCCGATCCTCCTTCACTGTCCTGGCTACTTTTACCTTTTCTATGCAAGTATATACAAAATAGTTTTGGGACAATTGCTTATTAACTACCACTCGATCGATCTCTGTCCTTTCACATATAATTACAGTTTTTTTTTTAAAAAAAACAAACCTACAGGAGAGAACTGCCCAATTAATTAATTGTATTAAAGTTGAAGTAAAAACCTAGATAAGTTAAAAAGAAAAGAGCATACTTTTTCATGCAGTTCGTTGACTAATTTGTTTCTGGCAACTATTTAGCTAGAAAACTTTGTTAATTAGTTTTCGTCTGTGAATTGAGCAAGCTCAACATGGTTAAGTAGCTAGTTTTGTGGAAAGCGGTGAGTACTTACTCACGCCAAGCTTTGATATATTCATGGATGCAATCAGTACATGCATGTCACATTGGCAACAGTGGGAGAGCTAGTGATATATACATGTACACACCATCACTAAATATGTGGATTATATACGTGTGTCCTTCATGCTTTCCCAAGCTCCTTTTTCGGTCATATATATTTATATTTATATGTCACCTTTTAAGGCCATCTTTTTTTAAGGGAAACATCAATAAAAGTACTATGACAGGCTGTCACGCCCCGAACTAGTCCCGACCGGAACTAGCCCGTGACGCTCCAAATTAACCTGTTAATCGATACCAGTCCCAGGAAACAGTGCTGGTATCACAGGAAGACAGAATATCACAGCAACAGAGGTCTCTTTATTATAGAGTAGAGGTACAGTCATGTTGGGCTGCGGACAGATCCCGAGCTCACAACTGCATTACAAAAAGGAAAGCGGAAGCCAAGACTTGGACCAAACAACACAGTCGCGACTTGGGAACTAGGCCGAAACCCTAAAACTCATCGTAGCCGGCTTGCTCCTGGAAGAACTCCTTGTCAGCGGGATCCGCTTCATCTTCTTCAGCAACTGGGGGGGATTATTTATATAGAGCAAGGGTGAGTACGGGAGTACTCAGCAAGCCATGGGAAATAAGTGTTTAATGCAGGCTTCAAGGAAAGGCTGTTGTTTTTGCAATTGATTTTATTTGAACTCTTTTCTGAAAACAACTAAGTGAGTGCTTCTCAAACGACACGGATGAGACAGTGCGTCTCGTCTGGTCGGAGTATGTGCAATGTATCAGTCTTTAGAATTGATCAAGATTGGCACCCGGCCAACAACTTTCAAACGGCCACCCGGGCCAACAACTTTCAAACGGCCACCCGGGCCTAGCTGATCCCATCAGCTGCAGATTTTCCAAACATCGATCCCCTTTTCACAACAGCAATTTCACAAGGAGTAGTCAAACAAAACTACGCTAGGAATCACCTCACATCCGCCCATGACCGTGGGCACGGCTGTTCGAACAGTTTGTTAACCTCTGCAGAGGGGGTACATTTTACCCACACGACATTACTAACCCGGATCACCCAGCCTGTGGGGATCAGCCACGTCGGGAGACCTCCAAGCTTTCATGACAAGGCATTTTCAAAGCCGACACAGGTTTACCATATGCCGACGAGAGGGGTCCCAGACCAACAACAGGTTAGGTCCCAGACCATACTGTGCCAGGAAGCCCAGGGGTCCTCCCCGACACCACCCCGGCGAATCCACATGTCTCTCGGCATCAAGGCTCCCCTGATAAGCTAGTTACTCAGCCAGGGGTGTCCCATTCCACCCATGTGGTCGTACTTGTCTTATGTTCGGATGAAATTCTAAGGAAACGGTCCTTAAGTGCAAGAGCGGGAAACCGTACACCCGGTACGTTCCCCGGTCCGCGGTTTTGGAAATTTATTTAGTTCGCAAGCACCGACCCAGGTGTCGGGTTTTCCAAGTCTTTTGTAAAACCCAAGTTTTACCCAAGTTGTTTTTCAGATTTTAAGTTTGAAGGCGACCGTCGATACTCGTGCAGAGTGCACGATTTCCGAGGCGCAACTGGGTGGTTACAAGGGAACATGGTATAACAATTAACAAAGGAAGGATCAAATGCAACAAACTAGGTAGGTCCGCCAATCTGCCTTGCAGACGGGACAAACAGATTAAGTGCGATCCTATCAATGCATAATATTTTTCAAGCAACATAATTAAGCTCAAATATAGGCTCAAGATGTTCAAAGGTGGCTTGCCTTGCTCGAGATCTTGAGCTTGATCCTCGAAATCCTCGCATTGCGGGTCTTCGGGCTCCGAAACTACGCGCAAAACGGGACAACTCAACAAATGGTGAAAATAAAGCCCTATTAATGACCTCTAAGCGTGCCATTAGATAGATCTCGAGATTTGAGGAATTTTGGAAGTTGAACGGAGTCAAACGGACTTACGGTTGGGAAGATATTGAATTTCTAAGATTATTGGATTTTTGGTCTAAAGGAAAAGGATTTAATTAAATCCTTTTGGAAAAAGAAAAGGAAGAGGGAGGGGAATTAAACTTCCCTCGGGCGGCTAGGGCGCGGCCCGAGAGAAAAGGGGCGGCTCGGCCGAGCTAAATGGGCCGGCCGGCCCAAAAGGCGGCCCAGAGCGCGCGCGGGAGGGGAGGAGAGAGGGAGCCGGTGGACCGGGCTCACCTCGCGTGGTCCTGGGTGGGACCCGCTTGTCAGCAGCTCGGCTCACCGTGCGGAGGAAGCACGCGGCGCGGCGCTAGGGTGTGGAGCGGGGCGCGGCGCATGCGCGCGGTTCATGGTGGACGCGGATGCGGCGGGCCCACGCGCAGCCTCACGGCTTGCGGTGGACTGCGCCCGCGAGCGGGGCCGGAGGGAGCGGCTGACCGGGGTCGGCTCGACCCAGTCTTGGCCGAGCTGGCGCCGACGTGGCGCCTACGTGGCAGCCACGCGGGCCGACGGGAGGTTGAAGAAGACGCCGGCCGGAACGGACGGCGGACGGCGGTGGCGAGCGGCGGAGCGAAACACGGCGATCTAGGCGAAAGCGAGCACACCGGGAAGTTGCGCGGGACGAGGGGAGTCGAGCCAACGGCTCGGATTTGCCGGGGGATGCTCGACGGCGGCGGATTGCGGCGGCGGCAACCGGCGGCGGAAGAAGGGGGAAACGGCGACAAGGTCACGAGGGGCCGATTCCCGGCGGCGAGAGCATCTACGCGGCTACGGGAATCTGTCCCTAGCGTCGGATTAGGAGGAAACGCATCGAGGGAGGCCGGCGACGAGAGGCGCTTCCGAGCTCGGGCGGCGACGGCGGCGAGCACATGGCGAGCGGCGGCAACGAGCGAGGGCAGTGGGGCCAGGCGGCGCGGACGGCGCAGGCGCGGCACGGGCGACGACCACGCGGGCGCGTGCACGCGAACAACGGCACGCGGGGGCCGAGTCGGAGGGCTCGGCTCGGCGCCTCGCACGCGCGCGCGGTGCGCGGGCAGAGCGGAGAGAGAGAGAGAGGGAGAGAGAGAGAGAGCCGGGGAGGGAGGGGGAAGATGGGCCAAGAGGGATTCGGCCCATCGAACCCGAGGGAGGCAAAATAGACTTTTGCGAAGGGATTGATTTGGGAAGGATTTGGATTCGGGATTGAACTCGACGATAGATCGGGGATTTGAGATATGAGAAGGCACGGACACTAGACAACAAGCAAAGAAACAGATTTCGCAAAAAGGGTTTTTAAGAGATAGTTTTCCCGCTAGGCGCCACGGCGGAACGGGCGCTACACAGGCTTTCGCAAACATTTTGTAAGTTAAAAAAAAAAAGAAAACAACACACAAATTACTCAAATTATTAATAATTAACATAAGATAGAATGCATGAACTTGTAAATATATATGTGCATAAATGGATTTTACAACTTCTTAAATATCAATCAAACAGTTGTAAAAAGACCTAAAAATTGTAACATTGATAAAGTAAGTATCCATCGTCGTGCAAAAAAAAAAAAGAAACTCACAAATTCAATCCACACAAATGAGCTAGAAACAAAATAAACAAATTTGTTCATGAATATATCTAACACTAATCATAAGCATATTTTTTTGTGTGGAATGTGAAGATTAAATTTAATTTTATATGTTTGTAGAGTGACATATATATAACATTGAAAATAAACTCCTCTGACATGGGTCGCTGACATATGGTCAGCCACTCAAAATCAGAGGGTAGCAAGTTAATTAGAGGATCCATGGTAGTATAATACTCCATCCGTTTTAAAATGTTTGACACCGTTGACTTTTTAGTACGTGTTTGATCATTCGTCTTATTCAAAAAATTTAAGTAATTATTTATTCTTTTCATATCATTTGATTCATTGTTAAATATACTTTCATGTACACATATAGTTTTACATATTTTACAAATTTTTTTAATAAGACGAACGGTCAAACATATGCTAAAAAGTCAACGGTGTCAAACATTTTGAAACGGAGGGAGTATTTGTTTAAGTTGTAACTGATGACAATCTCTTGAATGTGACGATGGATACATATGGATGGATGATGGAATGGAAGGTGGACAGACGTTACCGGCGATACCGTGAGCAGATGAGGGCGGTGGAGGTGTCGTTCGAGGCGGTGGCCGGCGGCGGCGCGGCGCAGGTGTACACGAAGCTGGCGATGCGAGCCATGTCGCGGCACTTCCGGTGCCTGAGGGACGCGCTGGTGGGGCAGGTGCGCGCGCTGAGGAACGCCATGGGGGAGAGCCAGAGGGACGCCGCCGGCGGCGTGGCGGCGGCGGCGCCCGGTGCCACCAAGGGCGACACGCCTCGGCTGCGGGTGCTGGACCAGTGCCTGAGGCAGCAGAGGGCGTTCCAGCAGTCCGGCGCCGTCGACAGCTTCCCGTGGCGCCCGCAGCGCGGTCTGCCGGAGCGCGCCGTCGCCGTCCTCCGCGCCTGGCTCTTCGAGCACTTCCTCCACCCGTATGTATATAGTATTTTTTTTCTCTCCATTTACAAATTAATCATCCCATATTTTGTGATGATTTTTTGTTTTGCACATATTAATTACAACCGCACCAAGGTATCCAAATGATGTGGACAAGCACATTTTGGCGCGCCAAACAGGCTTGTCAAGAAGCCAGGTACTCCTACTTAATTTCAAATTCATTGAGTACCCAATTTGTTACTGCACTTTTGCAAAGAGATATATACTCGATCAATTGGTTTGTGTACGTAGGTTTCGAATTGGTTCATCAATGCAAGGGTGAGGCTATGGAAGCCTATGATAGAAGACATGTACAAGGAAGAAACGAAGCCGGAATCATCTGATGGCAACAACAAATTAAACCCTAGCGCAGCCGGCAACAAACAGCAGCATCGAGATGATCCCAAGAAGAATTACACGGCAACGACAGCAGAAGCCAGCTTAGTACAACAAAGCAGCTACCATCTCCACCTTCGCAGCAGCGGAAACCGTAACTCCTCCTCGTTGATGATCCCTGCAGCAGCATCAACATCCATCGATCATCACCATGACAGCAGCCACCAGCTGTTGGGCGGCCATAGCTATTCTTCAGCAGCAGGATTGCATCATGGTCATGGCGGCGCCGTGTCGCTTACTCTAGGGCTCCAGCAGCAGCAGCAGCCATTTGCGGCGTCGATGATGCATCAGCATCAGCAGCACCAGCACCAGCACCAGCAGCAGCAGTCATTCATGGTGGAGGCGGCGGAGGAAGAAGAAGATGACGTGCTCCCTTACAGGAACCTCATGGAGTCTCAGTTGCTGCATGATTTTGCAGGAGCTAGCTAAGGCAGGCTCCAGCTTAGCATGCAGCTAATTTATTTGATTGTTAAAGGAGATTATTGCGCTCAAAAGTTTAATTTAATTAAGGAGATGTAGGTAATTAAATATTACATTATTGTTCTTTTATGACCAAACATTTCGTTACATTATTTGGGGATTTCTTTTGTAAAAATCAGCCCACCACTTCTGTTCTGGCCTAGCTAGCTTAGCATGCAGTGATGTGGAACCCACCCTTGCAATCCCATCTGGGCCCATGACAAGTTAGTTACTTAGAGCACCCGCAATGGTAAAGTAAGGTGTTATCTATAAAACATGTACATCTCAGCAATAGACTAGATTAATAGTAAACCACTTCAATGGTATGTCTACATGGGTATCTATAGCTCTCTAATCCATTGCCTCGTTTTTCTTTATACACTATCTCCCGGTTAGTAGATAGTTTTGCTCTCTCTCTCTTCATTTATTCTCTTTCAGGTAGGAAAATATGCTGACATGGATCTCTAGTAGAGAGCCTATAGATAACTATTGCGGTTGCCCTTAGGCCTTCACGGCTTCATCTATCCAAGCCCAACAGTGTGATTCATAGGCTGGCCTGAAAAGCCCAGTTTTATTTTTCTCCATCAGGAAAAAGCAGAGTGCCCCTGTTCCTTGCATTGTCACTGCAATTGTTCTGAATTGCTAATTAAGCTGATATTGGTGCTACCAACTACACACAAAACCTGCATGGCATTCACATCGTATATATGGAACAGCTAAATTAATTGTTTTCTTTCATCTAACTTAACTGAGCTGAGTAGCTCATCATTTCAGTGCATGGATGATTAGATGAAGCTTGCATTCAGACACAGAGAAGCTAAGCAGAGTACAGAAATATGTGTATAGTCAATCAAAGCATAGTGAGAGGTATCAAAGTTTACACCGAAAAATATGGCATCTCCTGTTACGTTCTTGAGAACCATAAAATCACTCTAATTAAGTAGCAGTGGTATGTACAGGAGTACTTACTTCGTTTTACAATGTAAGTCATTCTAGCATTTCCCACATTCATATTGATGTTAATGAATCAATATAAATGTGGAAAATGCTATAATGACTTACATTGTGAAACGGAAGGAGTAGTAATTAATTAACCAAACAATTAAAGGTAGGGTGATCAAGAAGGTGCGGTTGCTGATCCTCCAGTGCCGTCGTCAATGGCGGCTTTGTGTTTGTCGTGGTGATGATGGGTGAAGTGGGTGAAGAAGGAAGGGCCGTTGGTGATGAAGTTGTAGTTGAGCTCGCCGGGCCTCGCCGTCATCTGCCACTTCTGGTCCTCGATCATGTCGTCGGTGAGGCCGAACTCCCGGAGCTCGTCCACGGAGTGGTGCACCAGCAGGCTGTACCTCCCGCCGGCGCCGGTCTGCATGACGAGCGCGCCGCCATTGGAGAGGTTGGCGAGGCCCTCGAACTGCGACACCGTCCACTTGTACCAGCGCATGAGGAAGACGCGGAGGGTGAGGCCATGGGAGACGAGCACGACGTTCATGTCCGGGTTGCGCTCCCCGGGCGGCTGGAACCTCCCGATGTCGATGTCGGCGCGCAGCGTCTCGCGGAAGCCGGTGATGCGGTCGTACACGTCCGCCGCCGACTCGCCGTTGGGGAAGCGGTAGAAGAAGCGGCCGTACCGCCGCCGGATCTCCTTCTCCACCCGCATCTTGTCCCTGTCCTGGAAGTTGCCGAAGTCCTGCTCCCGCAGCCGCGGCTCCTCCCGGACGCCGGCGATGCGCCGGGCCTCGAACGCGCGCCCCAGTCCGCGCAGCGTCTCCAGCGTTCGCCGGTAGGGGGACACGTAGAAGTAGACCTTCCAGTCGTCGCCGCCGCCGGTGCTGAGGAGGTGGCGGAGGCGGCGGCCGCAGTCCTCGGCGTCGCGCCAGCCCTGCGGCGTGAGGCCGATGCGCGGGTCCGGGACGCGCGTGTAGGCGGCCTCGTCGACGTTGCCCTCGCTCTCGCCGTGGCGGACGAGGACGATGCGGCGCGGGCGTGGGGGAGGAGGGTAGCGCTGCTGGTGGGGAAGGTAGCTGGCGGCGCCGTAGGGCGTGACGAGCTCCGGGAAGCGCTGCGACTGCGCGAGCTCGGTGTCGTGGGTGGGCCGGCGGCTGCGCGGGACGCCGAGCGTGTCCTCGCAGCAGCGGACGCGCACTCTTGGAATTCGGACGGGGCGCGGTGGCGCCGCCGCCGGCGAGCACCTCGTCGCAGCAGCTGCCATATATAGACAGACGAATAGGAGTATTAATTATCGATAGGATAGGGTAGAATGAATTAAAACCAAGCTAGCTAGGAATTTGGCTCGATCGATCGATCGCTGGCCTCCTTAATTATCACAGGGCTACAAAGACGAAGCAGCTATGTTGATCGTTCATTTGGATTGCCATGTAGTGTTTGATGCGAAACCAAAGGTAATGTAAATTAAGAAATGATTATATTGTTGACAAACAGCATGCTACTAGTAATTAAATCTGGGTTAAAACCGCTTGCTGCATGCCACATGTAGATTAATTAAGAGGGGGGCAATCCAATCCAAATTTGTGTTTTTGGATGGATATATCATGGATGGTAGGCATATGCTAGCTCTCTCGCATTATCCTATACTCTACCTATCTAACTCAATGGGAATGGGAATGGGAATATACTACTAGACTGCAGGGCGAGGTGAGGGCTACGTGCTGCGCGTACCAACAAAGCTGGATACATCGTCATCGTATGATAGGATTGTCATCTTGTTGGTTTTTCTCTTTTTCTTTCCTTCTTCTTCCGTTAGTTATAAAGGCGAATTATATACTCCCCTTAATTAATAATTCAACGGAGAAGACGACGAACGACTAGTCCATACATCCCTCTGCCTCAGCCCAAAGGCCCTCGTAACCAAGTGGGCCTTGCCTTTCTCTTCTACATCAACTTGGGCCCATTTATCCCTGACAACATCAATTCAGCCTGCCCATCATCAGTGCTACCTAGTAGTAGTAGTTCCTTTCTCCAATATCTGAATTCTGATCTGCGAACGACTCTATAATTCCTCTATCTGTGGTGTACATATTCAATAGCTACCTGTTGTATATGCATACAGTAAATCTTCAGAAATACTGCTATTTGTATATGCACAAGAATTACAACCTATAAACACCTCATTTTTCTCGAACGCGCAAAAGGATTGCACGTCAATATATTAGAAGAATAGAATGTTTGTTACACGACGCAATCAGTCAGACCGACTTATGCCAAGAAAGGGGAGAAAAAAAGATAAAATAAAGAAGAGACGAAATACTACTGTCACGGCCACACACAACTCCAAATAGCTGGGAGGGGGCAGAGCCACTACCTTCCCAGGAGAACCCCAAAATTAGCGATACCAGCTAAAGACCAAAGGTGGCCCTCAGAGAGGATGGACTCAAGGACCTCCGAGACCGATGACAATGCAGAGTCGAAAACTCTGGAGTTCCGCTCTTTCCACAGTTGCCAAGAGACTAGGAGGACCATAGAATCGAAACTGGCCCGGAGATGCCCCGGCAAGCAAACCCTAGAAGAAGGCCACCAATCTTGGAGACAGCTACCCCGGGGAGGAGAGAGGGCAGTCCAACCAAGAGGCGACAGCACACGGAGCCAAACTTGCCGAGCGAACACGCAATCGAGGAGGATGTGGTTCGCAGTCTCAAGCTCTTGACCGCAGAAAGGGCAGGCCGAATGACTATCCAAGCCGCGCTTTAGGAGGAGGTCGGCCGTCCAGCAGCGCCGCTGAAATGCAAACCAGAGGAAGAACTTTCATTTAGCAGGGCCCTTCGCGTGCCAGAGAAGATCAGCACAGGCAAAGGAGTGCTGGCCAAAAAAGAAGGCCTGGTACGCTGAACGCGCATAGTAGAGCTGGTCGCTCGTCCAACGCCAAACAAGACGGTCTCTGACACCCGGCGAGAGCTGAATTCGAAGCGCAGCATCCCAGATAAGAAGAAACTGGGAGATGACAGGGACAGTGAGGGCCCCGTGGATGTCCGAAACCCAAGAGTTGTTCGCCAGGCCAGAAGCAACCGTGCGCGAACGGAGGCGCTGTGGCACAGCAAAGAGGAGGTCAGGAGCCAAGGAGGCCACTGAGCGGCCTCCATCAATCCAATGGTCAGTCCAGAAGAGCATAGATTCACCATCCCCCGGCACGAAGAAGGTGGACGCCTCGAACATGTCAGAGACAGACTGCTCGACTAGGGCCTTCAAGCCATCCCATTAGGGATGACCGGAACGCTGAAGCCAAAGCTAGCGAACGCGCAAGGTGAACCCTGCCAACCTAAGGTTAGGAATTTCTAACCCACCTAAGGCCTTAGGACGACAGACATTCGTCCAGGACACTCGGCACTGTCCCCCATGAACCGAATCTGTACCCGTCCACAAGAAGGCGCGTCGCTTCTTGTCAATGGCCTTAACAACCCAGGCAGGAAGGCCGATTGCCATAGACACATGGACTGGAATGGAGGAGAGAACAGACTGGACTAGCACGGAGCGACCAGCAAGAGTGGTGAGACGCCCCTTCCAAGGTAGTAGACGATGCACGACCCTGTTCACCAGTGGCTGAAGAGCCGCCTTCGGCAACTTGCAAACGGACAGCGGAATGCCGAGGTAGGTGCAAGGAAAATCAGAAATCGAGCAGGGGAAGCAAGAGTGGACCAGCTCCAGGTCCTCATCCGAACAGCGGATCGGAGTAATCGAGCATTTGGCAAAATTGGTGCGCAGCCCGGAGTTTGTATTGCCATCCCAAAACAGTCTCAAAACTTTAAACAGCTTCCAAGTAATCCATTCCAACAGCAAAAAAAAAAAAGCAATTTATTAAGGTAGTACTAGTCAGACAGGGATATCCCCACCCCCAACAGACTAGAAATACCGACATGTGCAAGATTCTTATTGTGAATCTGCTCATGGTACATTACATATACATATAGGAGCTAGTATAAAAAAATTCCTCTATGTAATTACTTGCACTAATCTAATCTTGTCTATCATTTTTTTATGTCAAATTTCCATCTTTCTTTTCCACGGTACAGCACTCATGCAGAGCTTCTGAAAGCAGTTTGGAGAGGAAAGGCAGCCTGAGAAATAATAATAGATGGAGCCAAACCAAAACCACAAAACCAATTCCAAACTTTTCGAATTCAACCCTTTTGAATTCCCTTAAAAGAACACATACGTACACCATCTGATCTGAAATCCGCAGTGTGCTTTGCCTTGCCAAATGCGGGTTGAGCTTTTCTTCCGGAAAAACCCAACAGGAAGCACAAAATTCGGAAGAGAGACACCCTTCTTCTCTTCTTCTTCTTCTTCTTCTTCTTCTTCTTCGTAGGCTGGGACTTTTGCAAAATAGACCCTGACCTTTTTTGCTCTTTTTTGTTTTTCTCTTGGAGACGGTTTGCGATGCGAGTATAATTATGCAGAAAGGACCCTGGGGCTAGGAGGCAGGGAGTGGAAGGGGCAGGAGAACGGGCGGCGCCGACGAGGGCAGCAGCGGCGAGCGGCAGAGAGGGCAGGTGCGGTGGCCGTGGTGGGCCCAGGCGTCGAGGCAGGCGCGGTGGAAGACGTGGCGGCAGCGGTGGGCGCGGCGCACCTGGGCGGACTTGTGGAAGTCGCGGAGGCAGACGGCGCAGGTGGCGACGTGGAGCGGCGGCTGCAGGGATGATGAGAGCGCGTCGAAGCGCAGCGCCGGGGAGTGGTCGTCCAGCTCCAGCAGCTGGGACGACTGGGAGCTGTAGCTGTAGCTGCCGTCATATTCGGCGTCGACGGCGGTTGGGGAGTCGTCGATGTCGGCGCCGGCGAGGCGGAGCAGGCAGGAGGAGAGGCGGCGGAGGTGGGTGAGGAGGAAGAGGAGGTGGAGCAGCAGCCGTGGCACGCCGGAGTAGCCACCCACCGGGAACCCCATTATATTCTTTGTAGCTGCTTAATTGTGAAGAGAGAGATCAGGAGAGAGAGCTAACTATAAGTATAGTCAGTAGCTAATTAAGCTAGGGAATCAGCGGTTAGCTAGCTACTCCAGCTGAGAATGAAGAAGAAGAAGAAGAAGAAGAAGAAGAAGAAGAAGAAGAAGAAGAAGAAGAAGAAGAAGAAGAAGTTGTTGAGTGAGTGAGTGAGTGACATGCCACACACCACACTGCAACTCCTCTCCTCTGCCCTTTAAAAAGGAAAAGAAAGCATAATAGCGAAGAAGAAGGACAAGAGAGCAGCTGCAAACAAACAGGTGATGGGGGTACGTACGTTGCAGCCAGGATGATGACAGAGATGTACAGTAAGCAGGCAGCAGGCCAAGCTAGCTAGCTAGCTCATTGAGATTATATTAGTATATTATAGTTGAGAGTTTTTTTTTTTGGTATACTGCATTACTGCATATGCAGATGAATAGATGATGGTAGGAGGACAGGTATGGATTGTTGAAGAGATCGAGTGGATGCAGTGCAGGTAGAGAGAGAGAGAGAGGAGAGGGGAGACAGGGAGGAGGCAGACGTTGTTGTCAAGTGCGTGCGCATGCCGGGGGCAGTGAGGTGGTAGGTCAGGTGTGGTTGTCGTCTCCTCTCGTCTCTGCTGCTATGCTATGCTATCTCCTCCATGTGCTCTGCTTGCCTTCCATCTCAATTGCATTGCAGCTGGCCGATCTGTTCATTGTATTTGCCACTGTCGTCCTTTTCTCACTCTCTCTCTCTCTCTTTCTTTTTCTTTTTCTCCCAGCTAGTATATGCTATTGATCAGGTGACCAAAATAAATAAATCTCAGCCAGGCCATTTGCTCCCTGGCTGTTGTTCGTCTTCAACCTCTAGCCGTACGAGAGAGAAGGAGAATGGGGCGGTGGACGTAGGAACTAACCATTCGCGGTGTCCTCTACTACGACGATATGGATCTAAATACCGGTAAATTTTGCTGGATCGATTATAATTCAAGATTGATATAGGAGTGGCAAATGTGAGTTTAAAGGGAAGACCTGAGTGGCACAGGATCGGCTATGGGTGGGGACGGCGAGGCGAAGATATGCCACTTAGCTGCGAGGCCATTGGAGACCATGCATGTGATTACGGGCAGGGGAGGGGCAGCTGTAGCATATTCGACTGCATGAGCCACTAGAGATGGAGGCCGGAGAGTCAGCGCTAGTGGAACCTGATAGCTAAAGTTGATTAAGATGGGCAATGATGCGATGTGTAAGAGATAGTGCATGTGTGCCTTGCACCGGTGCCAATGAGGTCGAGGGGTAGTATCGTGCATCGGAAAACAATGAGAAGGAGAGTAGTTGTATCTTGTGTGTGTGTGTTGGAATAACATGACGAGGGTGTGTGGGTGGGGGAGGGGGTGATTTAGGTTTGCATCTTACACAAATTGCATGGTAGTCTAAATGATATTGTTTTCGTTCTACAAGACGATATCCTTTTTCTATAAACATAGACAAGTATATGTTCACAGATATAGCCAGAAAATTTGTTTTATGGATGTAATAGTTGTGAAGAAATTAGTTGGTTGACGATCCAAATAGCTAGCTAGCCTCCTTTTTCCCCTTTAGCAAAAGAGATATGCTTTTCATATGACTAAGATTACATAAAGCCTATAGAACGGGATCCTATTCAGATGACGGCATACTTAATGACGAGCCCATCACCACCACATGTCATCCTCTCCTCTTCCTCGACCTCCTCTTTCTCCTCCGCTCCCTTCTACGGCCTTTCCCTCTCATGCTCGTCATTTTCACCTTCTTCCTAGCTATAGAGAATCGATATGTTGACAGGCATAGGCGGCGACAGAGCGGGTCGTCAACAATAGATCTAGAGGTCTAGGCCCCCTCCCCCGTTGGATTCGGCCGAGGTGTACGTCAGTGATGAGGGCAGCAGATGACACCAATCCTGTGGCCTCCTCTTCTGTCTCATGTTTGAGGCATGGCAGCGCCCACCAAATCAAGTTCCCACATCGAAAAGGCCAAGGAGAGAAGAGGTTGTCGAGAAGGACACCAATCAACGGGGCTCTTCCTCCTAAGCATTGTCGATGGTGATGAAGGAGAAGGCAAACAAAGCTGCTGGATCTGGAGCCCTATTTGGTAGCCGACGTGGTGGTGAAGCCGTCGTGCTCCTCTCATCGGCGTTGTGTGCAGGTACATCGTGTGATGTGCCATCTTTAACCGGTAGTACCTAAGCTATCAGAGATTACTCATCTTTGATAGGCCTAAAAATATCACGTGTAAGATATGGCTACTAGGGGGACCCATCGATGTGAAATCATAGTTGTAAGCCCATCACAGATGATCTATGTTGGGTCACAACCATAACCCGTCATAGATGACATGCTATCTATGACAGGTGTTCACCTGTCAGAGGTGATTCTCTGTCACCGTTGACCACTTAACTTTGACGAGGACTAAACCGTCAGAAATGATGGTTTGAGGTCATCAGAGATGACCTGATCCAGTGTAGTGTGTAGATTTGCTTAGAGGAAACGAAGATGTGGATGATGTCAGCCTTCATAAAATATATCCCGTCCCTATTCCCTATACGGCCGGCCGGGATCCTTTCCCCTATAAGCTTTTGTTAAGATTATTGCACATACGAAAGATATAAATATATGTTGCATTCGTACGATGGACGTACGATCGATAAACATGTATATCTGGTTAATTACGTGCATGTCTGGCTGCATACATATGATGATGATGATGATGATGAGTCATGAGTCGATCGATCCCGGGCGCGGCTGGGGGAGACCAAGACATGACATGCCATGTGACTCATTCTAATCAATATAACTTGATTAGCTAGCTAGCAGATGCATGGTCAGGTACGTACGTAGATGCATCTATCGTTTGCCCATGCCCTGACAATTAGTCCAACGCATTATGTCGGATATATACGACAAATAACTTAACGATTGATGAATGAAATAATATATAAATCCTCACTTTCTAAATATTTGACGCCGTTGACTTTTTTAAATATGTTTAACCGTTCGTCTTATTAAAAAATTTAAGTAATTATTAATATTTCTCTATCATTTAATTTATTGTTAAATATACTTTTATGTATACATATAGTTTTACATATTTCACAAAAGTTTTTGAATAAGATAAACGGTCAAACATATACTAAAAATTCAATGGTGTCAAATATTTAGAAAGGGAGGGAGTATATATATTTGCATCCACATGCATGCATATACACTGAACCATATGGTGAATATTATATAGTGTCACTACGATGGCCGGCACACCACGTGGAACAATTGCCTAATTGTCACTAGTTAATATGCAATTACGTACCACTCCATCAATAAAGACAAGAAGCTAGCGCTAGCTACAGCTAGGATTAATTAGCAGGCAAACTAAGCATCTGAATCGATCACCCAGCAAATAAAAGACCAGCTGATATATGAGTATGACCGATCGATCGATCGCGACAAACAAGAAATACAGTCGTCCTAGCTCGCGCCTTACGTAGTACGTACTGCATCGATCAGCTGGATCTATGCATAATTATTTTATTATATGAGTATAGTATGTATGCATTGTCGACTCCAAACCTCACTTTAATCTGTAATCATGTCGAGTTAACATTACTACATGTGATGGGAAGAAAGTTAAAACAAATTAAGGAACTCTTGTTGCAGCGATTAATTTCTTTTTTCTGAACGCACAAAAGAATTGCACGTCAATATATTAGAAAAAAAAGTTTTTGTTACACAACACAATCAGACAAACCGGCTTATGCCAAGAGGAGGAAGAAAACAAAGACAAAAACCAAGGAAGAAAAAGAAAAACTCATACGACGGGTAACGCTACTCCAATCAGCGGGAGGGGGCAAAGCCACGCTACACTCCCAACAAATCCCCAAAGGAAGCAACACCCGCTAACGACCACAGCTGGCCTTCCGAAAGAATGGACTCTAAAACCACTGAGAACGAAGAGAGCAGAGTCAAAAACCCTAGAGTTCCGTTCCTTCCACAGTTGCCAAGAGACTAGAAGGATCAGGGAGTCGAAGCCGGCACGGAGGCGTTCAAGTAAACAGACCCTAGAAGATGGCCACCAGTTCTGGAGCCAGTTGCCATGGGGGGAGAGGGCAGCCTAGCCAGGAGGGGACAACACCTGTAACCAGACCTGCCGAGCGAACACGCAGTCGAGAAGGATGTGGTTCGTCGTCTCAAGCTCCTGAGCACAAAAAGGATAAGTCAAGTGGCCATCGATGCCACGCTTCTGGACTAGATCATCCACTTGAAATTGCTCATCGTAGAATGATGCCAAGATTGGTGATCCAACGTACGATTGCTATGCCAGGATGACCTGCTAGAGTCTTGCACGTACGTATGCATTTATGTGAATTTCTAGTAAGCTACTCTACTCTACTCTACTCTACCAGAGTGAGTATCATAGAAAGTACTTAATTACTAGCTAGTGTGAAAATTAGAAGAAGCTTAGCTAGCGAATCATGGGTATGCATTGCATGGTGGGCCGATGGATGGACGGATCGAACAAGGAAGGAGGAAGGTTCCGACGACGAGGGGATCATTGATGGGCCCACTCTCGGCCTGTACCCACAAACAAACCGACACCAATGGGCTGGGCCCACTCTCCTCCCCGACCACTTTGGGCCCCACACCTCCTCATTAATTCCTCCTCTTCTATCTACTGTATTATCTCTGCCTGCCTGCCACTTGTTTTTTTTCCCCTCAATTCTTTTTGTCGAACATTTTCCCCATAAATAAAGAGTAAAAATAAAAAAACTAATACAAACTCTTAGTGTCGTACTGGATTGCTCATATGCACCGTAAGTATGAAATGGACCAGCCCGTCACCCGTAAATTTCTATCTCCTGTTGTTGATGTCTACTCTTCCCATCTTAAAAACGAAAATCAAACTTGAATCTATACATTTTTTTTGGGCGAAACTTGAATCTAGATAAATGGTCGTCCACATTCATCATAGTCAGGATATGAGGGTGTGTTTGGATAATAGGAAATGAGGGGTAGGATTAGGATCGGAAAATAAATGAATGATTAGGATTAAATGTAAGAGAGAGAGAATGGATGGTTAAGATTTAAACATATCTTTTGGTGGGTGAGAAATCATTTCCTTATTCCATTAGCCAAACATGGCTGATTGTTTTGGGATATATAGTGTATGTATTTTTCTCTATTTCTAGCCCATAACATAATATAAAGAGCATTCTGCAAAGCAAAATGGACCGGCTAATGCAAGCAGCCCATCAACACAAGAGATACCAAATTAGGCGAGGAGCCCATCAAGCTGCTTCAAGACTTCAGCTGAGTCTTCTTCACCCTTTTTTCGCCGGGAGTCTTCTTCACCCTTCACAAGACTACTGAAGTTCTCCACCTATCAGAACGCATCT